ATTATTATTTAAAGTCCGACCCTGATTTTTTAAATTTTTTAATCTGATTATATTCATCACAACAATATTTATAAGATAAGAATCCAAGTTGTAGTAAAGTGAGTTAATTTTTAAGCTAGGCCATTTCGGGTTTGCTACACCCATATTCAAGAGATGTAAGTACCATGAGGTGTTATTTTAATACTACGATTATTTTAATGACATTTCTTAATAGACACCGTAAAAATACAATCTATTTTTAACCATTTCTACATGATTTTTAAACGTTCCATTATTTTCAATTACGTTTTATGGTCTAAATCCTTATGACGGTCATGTGGGCGAAGCAATTAGAAAACGCTGTAACTATCGTATCAGCCACGAGCATCGCTGGAGAAGCTTTCAATTATTAGAATACAATTAACGAATTTAATTTTACCAAACAGTTTGACATGTGGTTCTTGTCTATTTTTAGACCATTATTAAATCATCGCTGGGTTTTTATTTGAGTTAAATTTAACTTTAAATGCGTTCGTCGATTATTAACACAATCAAATTGTTTAAGATATTATGTTAGGTTAGGTTAGGTTAGAGTGTTTGCTGGTACCGTAAAATGGGGGGAATAGAAACATAGTGGTGAAAAGAAACAACATTTCTGAAAAAAATCAAATCACGATTAAAAATATTCAAAGTAAAAAGAGTCGACATATCTAATTTTTCTATCATTGGTAATACACAATAAAATGTAAAAACTATATTTTTATCTGTGGCAGCATTGTTTCTGTCAATCAGCTGATCAATAAATGTGAGATCGATTTATCACCTATTTTGTATGGCGCGAAAACTTAATAAATAAAATATTTATTTTTAAAGTAATACATAAGCTGGTACATGTAAGTTGTTATATTATATGTATTGTTAATTATTGTTAAACCTACTTAAATATGTAATAATTTACTGTTTCTAATCACCTTGTTGGAAATAGAATAGATAAAAACCTTAACATCAATGTGTGTTTCTATTCTCCCGAATAGCAGGTGAATAGAAACACAAATGTTATTTTTATTTAATATTTATATGCATATTTTTCAAAAATCAAATTATATGTATACGCAGAGAACAAACAAAGACCCGTGTTTTAAAATATTCGGGAAAATAATACCACATTTTTATCAACCGGTATATCGCTAATAGCCTACGAAACTGTTTCTATTCACCAGGACATTATACCATAGCCACTGTCTCCCAACAACACCGTATTAGTCGTCCGCCGCATAATTTCAAGAACAGAAGAATTTTTCCAAATTCGACTGTCATGCACAGAGCCGGGCCACCGTGCATCGATATTCATGAAAACATAATTTTGATCACATATGTCTTGAACATTAATACTAGCATAATTCTTGCGGTTTACATATTCATCTCCAAATAGACGCGGCTTTTTAATTTTATCATGCGTACAGTCGATAGCTCCTATTGCAGTCGGATTTTTTTTTTGTTGACCATTTCACTTTGGCTTCCATAACTTCATTTTTGATCGACGGGAACTTAATCCAGTCAGCCGCCTTGTCCACAATGAGACGGAGAGTGGTATCGACAATCCTGGAGACTGTAGACTGTGTACATCCCAGTTCCTCACTTATACCGCTCTGGAAACCCGGATCTGCCATGTACCGTAAAACACTTTCATTTTCTGTACTGGCAAAAGCGCCCCTCACCTGGTTTCCAGATTCTCGCCAATGAAGTAGTCGGCTAACCACTGCACGTTTATTTCGTCGAACCGAAAGAGGGTTTTTCAAGTAAAAGGTAGAAGTAAAAGGTTTTTACTACAATTCGTATTTATAATCTCTACATTTTCCTTGCAAGGAAATGCTTTGGATAAATAAAGTAAAAGGTACAGAGATACAATTATAACTTTAGGAATACTGGTAAATTTCACTCTGCATCCATACTTTAGAATAGGAAGTCGTCGTTTCAGTTGCCCAAATATATGCTCAATCACAACTCGCTCTGATTTAAGCTGATATAAGATAGATTCGCTCTGATATTCCTAGAGGGGGTTGGGATAGGGAGTCATGAGACATGACATTATACCATATCCACTGCCCCCTAGTAGTATAGTGTTTCTTGTCCTGTTCATGACTTCACATACTGCCGAATTCTTCCATATACGAGAATCATAAACTGATCCAGGCGAACTTGCATCTATACTAGTATATAACACAATTCTGGTCGCATGTGGCCTGCACATTAACACTGCTAAAACCTTTTAGATTTATCGTCTCCAAATTCGGCTGGCTTTTCAATATGAATGTGCATGCTGTTAATAACCCCAAGAATTTTTTTAATTCTTGGGGTTATTAACAGCATGGGGTTTAATTCTAATTCTAAAAAATTCTAATAACCCAATGGCTGTTGGGAAATGGAACCTGGTCAACCACTTTTCTTTGGCCTGCATGATTTGATTTTCTGTGTTTGGGAACCGAATCCATTCGTCAGCCTGTTGTACAAGCTGCTCAAGCACCTCATGAAATATTCTAGACACTGTGGGCTGCGTACATCCCAATTCTTCAGCAATTCCGCTCTGAAATCCAATAACGCAGAAATACTTTCATTTTCTGCACAGGTGATAGAGGGCTGCTCCACGTGTTTCAAGATTCGCATCAAGAAAGTGGTCCGCCAACCACACCACATTCTCCTCAAATCTAACTAACGTTTTGAAATCTGATTCACGTGGCGTATGTCTTGGTTTGTAGTATTTTCTTGTATGTAAATGCACCATATTATCCATAACAAACACAACACTGAAACCACACAACCAAAGATTACTAGGTAGATGTTACCTACAAATAGACATTTTTTACATTCCGAGCTGTTTGATAGTTGGCCAACTACTGAAAAGAGTGAGAAAAGTTGTTGTGAACCTAGATTCCTTTTTTTAGAAGTAAAACCTTTATTTTTTAAGCAAATGCTTCTTTTCATAAATACGAAAAACAAAAGACCTTTTACTTTAAAGCAAATCCATGGAAGACTTACCTTTTCCTTCACTTTTCTTTATGCATATACCTTGAAGGAATTGCTTCATTTTTTGAAAGCAGAAGGTACGGCTTCGTTTTTAAAAATACCGCCTAATGCTTCGATTTCTACAAGTAAAAGTAAATGCTCTTCTTTATGAATACGGCCTATTGTCAAACTTCAATACACAATAATTTTAACAGTTTATGATTAATAATTCGAAGAGTTCCAATTTATTTTATGAGTTTCGGGAAAATTTGTACAATTTGTTTTTCTAGTTTCTTAGTCCTAAGCATGTTTGGGTACATTGAAACAAAAAATTATTGCATTTTTTCTAAATTTTCATCGATGTTTCATTAAGTTTCGAGTAAATAACGACTAAAAATCTAGAAAAATGGTATGTAGTACACTATTCGATATTTATGTCTTTCTAGCTGACTGCGCAAACGTTGTTTTGCCATATAACTATTTTTTTCATGGGACTAGTCATTTTTATTTACTGGGCTGAAAAAATTATTGAATTACTAATATCGCTATTAAAAAATAGGAGTTGATGGTAGGATGGTGAAAATTTAGGGTTGTGTGTATTTTTAATGTCACATCATAAAAAAATTAAAATTAAAATATATAACAACCTATTAATAGATAACAACCTATTCTCAGTCCTGCTGAATCTTCATTCAAAACCTCGCAATTAGTGGAATAAATTAGTGGTTTCAATTACACTTTATACTCTTTAGTTTACGATCATTCACACTTTTTAAAAAAACATAATTAAAGTTAATAGAATATCCTAGCCACAGTTTGCTTTAGTCAATTGTATCCAAAGAGATAGCTTAATATTTAGCTTATAAAACAATCAACTTTTGATTTCTATCCACAATTTCTCTTGACGGAAGATAATCAAAGGCCAAAATGACATTTCTCGCAAATTTTTAAGTATAATTAGTTGAAAAGTTAAAAGTTAAAAAAGTAAACTTTTTCTACTAATTGAAAATATCGACCACTAAAGTTGACGTTCTAAATGCTCACATTGAAATTAAAGGAACAAACTTCTACGCTAATTGAAACCACTAATGTATTTCACTAATTGCCAGGTTCTGAATGAAGCTTAGGCAACTAAAACTGTGACACGAGAATTTTATATATTAGATGTATCTTTTTTGTATATAAATCATGTTATTAGGAAGAATATTTGAAGATATCAGAAAAAGTTCAATCCTATAGCTTTCTTCAAAGTAAAAATAATAAACTTAACACTACCATTTAGTTCACGGTTGTATTTTCAATTTTATTATTATGCTTGATATTAGTCTTTATAAAATATTCCACGATCGTTAATGGGAAAATAATGCTTGAAATGCCAAACATAAAATCGAAGGATAAAGCCTTCGTACTTCGCTATTCAATATTATTTATACTGCTTCATGTCTAAGATATATTAATTTAGCAAGTACTCAATATTAACCTAAATAGATATCGCACATTTATTTTTATTGGATTACTTTGTAAGATCTATCTATAGTATATTTCTGTTGCAATTAAATGTTTTTATATTACGCCATTAAATTAAAATATAAAACTAATTTATATCTAATATAACAGTTGCTGCCAATATATACCTATACTCTCCAAAATATAAGGGCATATACTTTGTTTTGAATTTTAACATTACTAAAATAGAGCAAAAATACTAAAATTCTAAGTATTTCACACAAAATATCCATAATCTCTTCGTCTATGACTTTCTAGTTTTTAACGCTAATTTTATTGACATTATGCTGATGGGTGATGTTACCAGATTTTCAAACCTACCCACTGTAATATAAGAAAATAATAAGACAATTAAAAATTAAGGGTATCAACAATTATCGTTATCAAAAATTTAGTCATTTAACAAAAAATCGAGATAAAAGTTTAGTATGTGGTGTATCAGTGATTAAGTAACAATGAACTGAAAAACGTCTACTTTTAACATTAGCTTATGTTTATTTATTTAATTCTAGTTCTAAATTAACTCAAAAGTGTGCTTGTGTCGAACCATGAACATTGTTTACAACTAAAATGAGCTGCTACGGTTTTGTAACTAAATTAGTGCATCGATCAAAGAAAATGTCACCCCGCGAAGTGGAAATCATCCAAAACTATAAACTACTACTTGAAGAAAAGTGCAAAGAACTCTCTAAAAAAGATAGTATCATCGAACAACTTGAAAGAAAACTCGAAGATAAAGAACTTTTAATTAAATACCTTCAAAATGAAATAGATAAATTTAGGCAGGTCGTTAGACCAATCACTCAGAAAATCATAACTAAGCAATTATCGCTGGGTGATGATATTTGGCCTAACAATAACAACAGTACCGGAAGTGAGAAGAATGAACTTCACATAGAAGTACCTCCAGTGCAAACTCAAGAAGCCAGAATTAAGAGGGAAGGTATCAGTGCTGAGCCAGTGAATATCAGCAAGAGTGATCTGCAAATAAAGAAAATACCCAAAACAATACGGTGAGTCTGAAAATTATGTTATGTTACCATTGCAATTATTTTTATGCTTTACTATAAACTGACTAGCGTTATTCTGTACTTAAACTGCCGTTAAACGGTAGCTTACTAAAATGCCGTTAATAGGTATGACGTCGTTAATGTCCATTGGCGTAACAACAGGGGTGCCCGGGGGTGCCGGGCCCTTTCAGGTACTGCTGGACACCCCCCAGAGAAATCCTGAATTATGACTCTTGGCTACGTGTTAATTTTTATTTGCTCGTGATGCAGTAAAATGACGTTTTCTAGTTTTGTTTAGTTAATATTATTTTGTTTAGTTAGGTTAGGTTAGGTTAAAATGTGTTAATTTTTATTTTTTTTTTAGAAAATTTGTAGGTATTTAAGTAATCTACGGGAACACGGTTTGATAACCAAGTCTATGAAATTTATTGATAGATAGTTTTATTCAAAAAATGTGTTTTTTAAAATTATATTTCATTTTTAAAAAAACAAAAGCCCTAGGCCCCCCTTGGGCTCAATCCCAGGCCCCCCGCCCACCCCAGGATAAATTGCTAGTTACGCTAATGTTGATGTGACGCACTTGAAGGCTTTATGAAATATAGGAATTTTATAAGGACTAACCAACGCTATCCACCCCACCAAATAACCAACTTAACCAACGCAACTAACCTCGACACTGATAAAAAAATATAAAAAACAAATATAAATTAGTAAAAACCAACCAACCCCACCAAATAACCAACTAACCAATGAATTAACACCCTCCAAATAACTACGATAACCAACCCGCTAAATAACTAAACCAATCCAATCAAAAAGAGTGAAACCAATGCAATAAGATCACGCTATAAGCAAAAAAAAATATAAAAAAGTCTTGATCGGCGTGAGATTTGAACCACGGACCATTCGTTCACGAAGCGATAGCCTCAGCCACGGAGCCACAGGTGCTCTTGCAAAATGCTTATAGCTAGGCATTGCTTTCCGCCGACATGAACGACGTCACAATATCTATTAACGGCATTTTAGTAGGCTACCGTTTAACGGCTGTTTAAGTACATCGTATTTTTTTTAAATTTGAAATTTATTATACACGATATTATACACGATATTATACACGATACATAGTAATTTAACAAAATGCGCTTTTAGGTGCTTTAAGTTCAATGATTATCAATTTTATCTCTACATATGTTTCGGTTTTTAGTCTTTTTCAAGAGATTCTTAAAACTATAATATTCTTATTAAACTTGAAACATCTAAAAGCATTGTTTTTATTAAAATACAAATATTTCAACGATATTTCATGTAAGGAACCAATCACAGATTCATTCGTTCACTATTTATTATTAATTATTTTGTGATTTTTATTTTTTATTCTTCCTTACTCGTATTTTTATTTACAAAAGAAAAAGGCAAAATGTATGAACTTAATTTATTTCACAATGTGATATAATAAGTTGATATACTGCAATTCTATATGTTGTAAATTTATTAATAACTGATAATAATCAATAGATCTTTTTAAAATTTTGGAATATTTTCATAATATATACGCTTGTAAAAACAAATTATTTTTAATTCTTTAAATACTGTGTTATTTTATTGCTGTTCTTAACATTTTGCTGTTCTTATTTTTTGGGATTTTTTGATCTTTATTTAATATTTATTAATTATTTATATACATATACAGGGTATCAACACACAAAAAAAGTGGGTTTTCCATTGAAAAAAATGATTTATAATAATTTTTAATCGCCCAATTCAATAACAGCTACCACCATTATTATAGGACACTGGAAAAATTTAATTTTTTAAGTAGATAGCCACATGTCTTCTCTTTATGTCACAGTGACTGCGTTAATCAATAAATTTGACGTTTAGGCTATACAATTTTTTTCGACAGGCAGTTTTATTCCTCCAAAAATTTTAAATTTTTTTTTCTCACAAACGGTTAGTTAGGTATAGAATATTAATATCAAAATTCATAAATTTTACATAGAATTTAAGTATGTAATAAAAAATGGGGGCACCAATTTAAAATAAGAAAGTTACTGTGAACTTCCGGTGTTTCCGGAAGTGCCGCCATATTGATAATATTTTTAATCGATAGATCTCGTTGTGAAACAATGATGTGCAAAAAATCTCCGATCTAGGTATTATAGTTCTCTAGAAACTTCTAACGCACGCTCAGCTTAGGACACCCTGTATACCAATTTGTTGGTTGAAATTTTTTTGTAAGTATTAGGTGCTACTAAAATAATTTTTCCAGTTTATTATTTTAATCTGTGTTAAGCTTTTGACTTTTTAGTTTTTTATTAGTAATTGATAATGTAATTGTTATTTTTATAAATATGAATGAAATCACTTAATATTTTCATAATGCTAATAGATAAAATTATTATGATTAGATATATTAATTTCTACAAAATTTATGATGAAAATAATAAAAATTATTTCTTGAAAATATACTAATAATACAGAAATTTAAAGAAAAGTTTAAAAAATAAAATGTAGAGACAATTAAAATACATAAAAATGATTATATTTTTGAGGTGGCTTTCGGCCTGTTCCACTGCAACATTTTCTGATCTATGTTGTGATCCTCTTCTGAGCTCTAGGCTGCATTTTCCTGTCATATTCTTTTCGAAAAGTCTAATATCTTGGATACCTCCATATAGCTCATTGTCAATGCCTTATCATTTCCTAATAGAAAAATTCACACATCTACCAGGTTCCGTGTACCAGTGGTACAAAAAGTGTTCTGTTGTTTCCTCTTCAGATCGACAAAATCGTCACATGGATTCGTCCGTCAATCTCATCGGATTTAGATGCCTCTTAAGCCTTTGACAGTCCTCCTGTTTTTACTTATCAAATTTGTTGTAAATTTCGGCAAAAAATGCATATAAATTAATATAAATAGTCTTATAAAAGTATGTACTTTTTAGCAAAAGTGCATATTTATATTTCTTAAAAAGGAATACCAATATTTGCTTGAAAATATTTAAATAGTTTTACTATAATAGAAATGCATGTAATTGTTTAAAAACAGCACAAAAGTTGACAAAAGCTTTAGCGATAAGACCAAATAATTCTTCATTATATTTCTGGTATTTTTATATTGTACAGGCTGGGTCAAATTCGATGCTTTTAAATGAAAACACCCCTTTCTATAGCAGATAGACGAAAAGTAATATCAGTGTCTGGAGCTCAATTTTCATCAAAAACATGATGGTGAAAACCGCACATCAATATCTGTTACCGTTTCGGAGTTAGGGGGTGTTTTTCAAAAATGTGCATATTTAACAAATCGCTGTAACTTTTTTGCTATGGAAAATTTTGTATTTCTATGAAAACATTTCCAAAGCACCTTTCTACGTAGAATTTAATGGTATAAGTATAATTTTTTTAAAATTAATAATTTAAGTTATCAACAAAAAAATTGATTTTTTATTTGGGACACCCTCTATATTTTTAATTAACCGAAAAGAATTTAAAATTACCTTTCAAAAAATATAGCACACTTGATATTTTGTTATATTCCCCTTCGAAATACAGAGTTTTTAAAAGTTCGCCACTTTTAACTAGGCTTTGGACCCCTTATTGATGATATGCCCTTAATGGAACTCGAAAACATATTTTTCCAGCAAGACGAGGCACCGCCTCAGAACACTGAAGTTATGAGCAAATTTTGCAGCCAATTTCAAGAATAATTGAAGAGCTAACCAAGATCCCAGTTGTTAGCCGTCGAGATATAAGTAATCCTATGGATATATTTGCGGAAGAATAAAGGTTCCATATTCTTCCGTATAATCTAGACAAGAATTAGAAATACTTAGCAGTTATGAGAGGGTATCTTTCACCCCCACTGAGTTAATGAATTCCGCGAGAAATGTTCAAAAACTGCCCCGTCTGTCCATAACAGAAGACGCTCGATATGTCGAACACCGGCAGCAAAATCTCATGTCTTGGTTTGCTATTTATTTTTATTGTTATCAGATATAGTTCAAATGTGTTGATGTTGGTTAAATATATTTTAAATTGTTATAAAATTCTGCATCTCTCATAGCAAATATTACTTTCGTTTTAATTGATGCTCACTGCTAGAATTTTTTTGCATTGCAGCCGGTGCCATTCAAAGCATCTACTTATTTAAAGCTGGCGAATTTTTGTATACTCTATATCTCCAAGAGGAATCGAGCAAAATATCAAGTGTGTTATATTTTTGGAAAGGTAATTTTAAATTATTTTCAATAAATTAAAGATATACAGGGTATTTCATATAAAAAATCAAAATTTCTGTTGATAATTCTTAAATTATTAATTTTAATAAAATTATACTTAAATCATTAAATTCTACGTAAAAAGGTGCTTTGGAAATGTTTTCATAAAAATACAACATTTTCCATAGCAAAAAAGTACAGCGATTTGTTAAAAATGCATATTTTTGAAAAACACCCCGTAACTCCGAAACGGTACCAGATATCGATATGCGGTTTTCACCATCATGTTTTTTTACAAAAATTGAGCTCCAGACACCGATATTAGTTTTTGTCTATCTCCTATAGAAAAGGGTGTTTCCATTTAAAAGCGTCGAATTTGACCCACCCTGTACAAAGTCGAAACAATGTCAATTAACATGCAGACAGTATGTTTTGATAAATTGATATCTATGAATAATTATATACTTTGATTGAAGTTAGAAACTACAAAAATCAGTTTATATTTTTATGTTTATATATATATTATATCTATTATCTTCATTTAAAACAGCGTTGCTTTAAGTATAATAAGTCCTCTAATTTAATTTACGTAACTCAGATATTTGCAAATTATTTTTTAAACATTCGAAATAAAGAAACCGTGTGTTAATTTATTATGTTATGTGATAAAAAATTCCTTATCTTTATTAATTTAAATCATTTCATCGGTGTGTGCTAATGTCTATCTTTCTGTTTTTGCATTAATCACTGGTATTTTTCCATGCAAAATCCATTTAATATATT